CCTATTCCACATCCTTCTGAGTGGGAAATACCAAATGACTTACAAACAGTTTTGCCACCAGCCATGGACAGAAGGCTACCTGGCTGACCAAAAAGTCACGATCGTATACCGTCTAAGGGTGAAGAGAAGAAGAGATCGACATGTAGTCGGTGCAAGGAAAGTAGTCATACAAGGTTGACATGTGGATCACCAGTGCCATCACAATCATCTTTTCCTCTACCAAATTATGGATCCTCATCAAAATCCCAATCACAACCGGCTTCACATTTTGGGACTGTTAACTTAGGTGATTTTTAAATGCAAACGTTGTATTATGTGTATATTATGTGTGAACTTTTAACATTTTCAGTTAGGCATGTATTAGTAACTTGAGTTTGAACATTTCTATGATAAGTTCAGTTGTTATCACTTATTAGACATTCATTTGACTATCGCAACGTGGAAATCGCAACGCGAATATGACTATCGCAACACGGAAATGACTATCGCAATGCGGAATTGACTATCGCAACGCGGAAATGACTATCGCAACGAGAGAATCGTAATGCGAAATGAAAATCGCAATACGAAATGAAAATCGCAATGCGAAATGAAAATCACAATGCGAAATGAAAATCGCAATGCGAAATGAAATCGCAATGCGAAATGAAAATCGCAACGGGTGAATCGCAATGCGAAAATGAAAATCGCAACGCGAAATCGTTGCGATTTTCATTTCGCATTGCGATTCTCTCGTTGCGATAGTCATTTCCGCGTTGCGATAGTCTGTTTTGCATTCAACATAATGCATATTGAAATCAACTATTACATTTCAATCAATTAAACAAGCACAAATATTATGTACACAACAATTAAACAAATCAACATTTACAAATCATCTTTTACAAATCAATTAAACAATCAAAAACTAATAATGAAATCAACTTGTGCACCCATACATCCATTTCACGCAGCTCACTTCAGGATTAACCTGTAGAAACCAAGCATTGAATCAACAACACTTTCTACACATCTAAAACCTACAAACAGCAAATTATTGAATTCTAGCTACTTAACCAAACATTTTCAAACCAAAAAGAGTAAATATGTTTAACAACACTTGCATTTGACTTACAAATTGTTTATGGACACTTTCATAACGCGATGCAGGTAGGCAGCGTCTCGCATATATCGCTCTAGCCATAAAATGCCGAAACCACAACCCTACTGCACCTCTATCTCTATCGGTGGGAGGTAGAAAATGTGTACTTCCTGTCGTCAAACGCTCCAAGCACATGCATACGAGAGGACCACAATCCCCTCTGGCTTCCTTCGTTTGTTGTGGCGCGGTCTCGTCTCTGATAACTGTAACATTGAACTTCTTTGGCTTCTTGTTTCCAGACTTAGTCCAATAATCAATTGCATCCAAGAATTTAGCCAAATGAGCGCTCCATCCCTTAATCATATCTCTCAAATCAGACAATGATATGTAATTTATCATGTTGTCATATACTATTGTCTTTAGGGATGGGAGATGAAGCTCAACGAGAAGCCAAAGAGTACGGTCCAAAACAGGGATAAACATCTGCATCGAAATGTAATAATTCAAATTGCGCACTTATTTATGAACACCTTTAAAATATTTAAACAAATATACTAACCTTATCGACCTCCCACCATGCAGGATAAAGTTTAGCTTGTCTATTAGCCAACACATATGATTCTATCGTTGATTCTTCAAGTAAACTATGTGAAAAGACGTCGGCATAATTGTATATCGCGCTTTTTTAATATTTTTCTTCAATTTCCTTACAATTAGAAGACGTGTCACCCATGCATCAATATGCTGTTTTACAAAAAAAAATACATATATTAGTGAATTACATAAATTTTAAAAAAAATTAAATCAAACTGAAATATAAGAAATATAAGACTTACCCCCCATCGAAATAGCTGTTGTCTTCAACCCCTAATAATACACCCTACCAAGACCGTTCAATCAACAAATGCATATCATCGTTGAGTTTGTATATGTCAGCGTAACACCCTTGGCTCCGCTCATGTAGATAAAAATCAACTGCGGTCTTAGCCCAAAGGGTATTATCCAGAATTATTTCCGGTAGTTGTTTCCTCTCTACTTCATCTGCCGGAATGGTACTGGTCGGTAACTTATACGAAAGCCAACAATCATCCATCATGTCCAGCACGTGAGGGGGCTTCTCAATAATTCGATATATTACGCCGTATAAATCGGGCTCTAGAATGTTGGGAGGGACCTCTTCAACGATGACAGTGGCCTATTGAACCGTAGGAGGGGACTCTTGAGGGATGATAGGGGCCTCTTGAACGATAGGGGAGGCCTCTTGAACGATGACAGGTGAGTCAGGCTTTTTCTTATGGATTCTTCGCACTATTGGGTGAACGGAGACGTAATGGCACGTGCACATCGTCTGATGCGTGAACTCCGTCTTGCAAGAAAAACCCGACGTAGAGCATCCACCTTAGCAGGCCGCTAAAAATAAATTAATACATAAATCAGTAAATAAACAGACATGATATTAAACAGTGAGAACAAAGACAAATATATTTCAAACTTGCACGGTATTCACCCAAGTCATTATTATATCATTGTTCACAAAATGCATCAGATAACATTCCAGAAGTAAGCACTTTTATAAACATTTAAAAGGACAACATATATGTTTAGTGCAAGTTCAATGACAACATAAAGAGTAGTAGTTTATTCTTGAAACTTAAATTTTCAACACTGTGAAGTTAGTATTTGTCTTTTGGTTGAAGTAATGCAATTCATTCAAGTTTCAATTTGCAGAAGAAGAATAGAATCTGAAACTTAAAATCGCAACGCGAAAATGACTATCGCAATGCGAAAATGACTATCGCAATGTGAATTTAACTATCGCAACGAGAGAATCGCAATGCGAAATGAAAATCGCAACGCGATTATAGTTTCGCGTTGCGATTTTGGTTTCGCATTGCGATTTTGTCGTTGCAATTTTCATTTCGCGTTGCGATTCTCTCGTTACGATTCATTTCGCGTTGCGATAGTCATTTTTTACGTTGCGATTTTAAGTTTCGTGTTGCGAAAGTAAACTATTTCTTCTTCTACAAATTGAAACTTGAATGGATTGCATTACTTCAACCAAAAGACAAAACAAAGACAAATACTAACTTTATAGTATTAAAGAATACATAGTTTATCAGAATTGGCAGCAACCGAACAAATTTACTTTCAACCAAAAGACAAAACAAAGACAAATACTAACTTCACAGTGTTAAAGAATACACAGTTTAGCAGAATTGGCAGCAACCGAACAAATTTACTTTCAACCAAAAGACAAAACAAAGACAAATACTAACTTCACAGTGTTAAAGAATACACAGTTTAGCAGAATTGGCAGCAACCGAATAAATTTACTTCAACCAAAAGACAAAACAAAAGACAAATACTAACTTCACAGTGTTAAAGAATAAACAGTTTAGCAGTATTGGCAGCAACCGAATAAATTTACTAAGCAATCTAAGTGAAATGGTTAATCTAAGTGAAGTTAAATATGGAAAATCTTAAACTTACCTCGTTGCGTAGAGTATGAACCTCATTCTGCAACGATACTACCATCTCACGTAGAACGGCAACCTCACCACGTAAAGTAGACACCTCCACACGCCATGCACCATCGTTATCGCGTAGAGTACCGATCTCTCACGCAAGGCATTGACCTCATCACGTAACTCCCTTGACTCATCCTGTGGAGGTGGAGAACAGGGAGATAGAAGTCGTGCATCTTTGCCGGTCGCCAATCATGAGGTGATGGTGGAGAAGAGGCTCGATGATGTGACGGGATAGGTGATGGCTCTCGTTGTAAAGGTGTATAGTCGGGTCGATCAGGTGATGGCTCTGGGTGAGGTGATGGCTCTCGAAGTGGAGGAAGAGGAGGCTGCTCATCATTCGTGCTATCAAAAAAACGCTGACTAGCTTGCCACCAATCAGTGGCAAGCTCAGCCTCCGTGGGTGTCAGTCTCTGTAATGGAGTGTTGGCCTCCTAAAAATATAAAAACTCAAACAAAGTTAAACGTCTACTATCAATAACTTGTTTATATATGATAGTATTTGTGTTAACTTACATTTTTTATTGTTGCATATGGTATTAAGTCTTCCCAATCCAACAGACGTTTCCTCTTCTCGGAAATAGCCCTAGGAATATCATTTGAAGTTTTTAATGCATATGTCCGCGTGCTGGGGAAAGCCTCGAATATCCAAATATACAAACAATATAATAACAAACATTAGTAATTGTTAAATAATTAATTATAATTTTGAAAACATTATATAGAAATTCTTACCTTAAAGGCCCAAACAAAGCCTGACAAAGTGTATTTCGACCCATCGCCACGTAAACTTTTGCGGTCATCAAAGGCAGACGACAACTTAGTCCAGGTAGCTTTCCATATATAGAACCCCACGGAAACAGATTCCATGCCTTTGATGACCGCAAAAGTTGTCGTCTGTTTCCATATATTCGAATATCCAAATATACAAACAATATAATAACAAACATTTGTACTATCGCATTACGATTCTTCATAATCGCGTTGCGATTCTGGGAACTGATTTGCAATTCTGGAGATCGCGTTGCGATTTTTATTTCGTATTGCGATTTTGTTGGTCATTTTGGCAAATCCAAAAAAAGTTGGTTAAAATCGTATATTATAAGATATTTTTGGTCACTGAGACGATTTTCTCTTTTAAAAACTGTCCAGTAAATTATGTAACTTCCACAGAGAACATTGTGGAAGAGTCACTGTATTGTTTAATGGGTAAGTTTATATTTATTTACATAACAAAAGTAACATGTCATTTATCTTAATAATGTAAATGTAGTCATAAAATTATGCTAATGAAAATCCAAGGATTAAATCTCGAATTTAGTCATAGTTGAGGAGTCCAACCAACAATTCGACCTAAATAAAACCCTGGCTAAACCCGTATGATAAGCGTTGCTCGACTGCCCTTTCCCCATTTGTTCTTCTGCTTTACCCTCACTCTTGCTTGAGGCTGTTTGATTTTGCGGCAGATTCCTCAAGAGATAAAAAATGGCGGGCCTTGTACCTCCTGGTATCCCGGCGGTTCCGGCCGATGTTTCCCACACGGCGCACACCAAACACGACGAGAAAACCGATTACATGAATCTCCCTTGCCCTATTCCTTATGAAGAACTCCACCGCGAAGCCCTTAGTTAGTCTTCTCTTCCTCACTTCATTTTATATGGGTTTTCTTTATTGACTGTAACTGTATCTTTAGATAATGGATGCGGCTCTTTATAATCTTTAAAGAGAAAAGAAAGAAAGAAAAAGAAACTCCGTTTGTTGTTTCATGATCTATAGGTGTATGTGGAATCTAATGGTTTAACAGTTTGACTAGTGATTGTGATGATGAAGTTACTTGAAATGAGGGGATACAGATTTAGCTTTCGGCTCCGAACAGAAGTCCCTTTCTTGGAACCCTAGTTGCTCTGATTAGTGGAAATGATGGGGTTTTTTTTTGATAATGTGAAACTCTCTCATTCTTTCTAAGTAGATTGGTGGGTTTTGATTTTGATTAATCTTAAGATCAAGTTTTACAAAAGCAATTGCTTCTTAAAATTCGGGGCAGCTGTGTCTTTGGGTTTTCATAAAATGAACAAGCATATTACTGATAACAACCCAATTTCCAAGGTGAGATTATAGTGGAGTAGTGTTTGGTGCACTACTAAGATTTATTAGTGAAATGTTGTTGAGTTCTTGAGGTTCAGTTAAGGGTTCTTTTTTTGTGAATCTTTGTTCTTTGAGATGTGTGCGCAATATCTTTCTCTGGTAGCATATTTTCTTTGGCACCTTTTTCATATTCCTCGTGCCTGTCAAAAGTTGATGTCCTGTTAATTGTTTCTTCTGATGCATATTGGAATTACGAAAGAAGGTGGTGCTTAAACAGTGGTTAAAATCTGTTCTTTTTTATGGAAAATGAATATTTATTGCTTGAAAATGTTTGACAGTGTCTCTGAAGCCAGAAACCTTTGAAGGATTGCGATTTGATTTCACCAAAGGTCTAAATCAGAAATTCTCTCTCAGTCACAGGTAGATTCAGCATCTTCTATATTCATTCATTTTTCTATTACTACTATTGTCTTGAATCCTTACTCTTCTATCTTAATTAATTCTGTTATCTGTTTGCTCCCAAACATCTCTCAGTGTCATTATGGGCCCAACAGAAATTCCTTCTCAATCTGCTGAAACCATTAAAATTCCTACTGCTCACTATGAGTTTGGTGCCAATTTCATTGACCCCAATGTAGGTGGCTTCTCTCATTATCACTACTCTTTCAAGCCACCCTCTTTTCTTCATTTTTATCCAAATAAATCAAGTTAAAAAGTGGTATCAATTATGGTCTTCTAGTTGATGCTTATTGGGAGGGTGATGACTGATGGTAGACTCAATGCAAGAGTGAAATGCGATTTGACAGACAATCTTACTGTGAAGGCTAATGCTCAAGTAAATCACGCTCTCATTTATTATTTAGTCGTTTGGCTTTCCTGTTTAATTGAAGACTATATGTTTTTCCCCTTGTCTAAGCTCATTGAGAGTTTCTTGTTTCCTGTTCCAGCTCACAAATGAGCCTCATATGTCACATGGCATGTTCAATTTCGATTACAAGGTCAGTCACTCGTAAACTGTCTTATATCTTGTCTAGTTTGCTTTCATCTGTGTATATTTTTGTTTGTGTCATCATGGCAAGCGTGGTACCTGATTTTTTTTTAGTTTATTCGTTATTTTTGTGCTTGAAACAGGACTTATGAGGTAGCTTGGGCTTGCTGCCATGAAATATGAGTTTGTTTTGTCTTTTGACATTCGTTTTTTCTTTGGAAAGGGTAAAGACTTCAGGTCTCAGTTCCAAATGGGAAATGGTGCCTTATTTGGTGCTAACTATATCCAGGTAAATCATCTGAAGCCACATTATAATTTTGAAGTCAGCTGAGATAGGATAACCTAGCATAATGAACAATTTATTGGATGATACTTAGAAAAGTCACTTTTATTGTACCTAGATTCAAAATAATGTGGAATTATAATTTCTCTTGTATTGATATAATGTGCCTTCCTTTCAATAAAAATGCTATAAGGTATGGATACCTAATAATGATATAAGCAACCTACTGTCCTAGACCTTTACCGAAGGCCTTCTGCTTTTTGCATTCTGCTTCCTGGTCTAACAATGCATCACATACATTAATTGTCAATCTTCTGTTGAAATCTCTACCTCTGCAATTATGGTTCTGTCTGTTTTTAATATACTGAATCTAATAAGACATATTTGTGCAGAGTGTGACACCACATTTTTCCTTGGGGGGTGAAGTATTTTGGGCCGGTCAGCACCGAAAGTCAGGCATTGGTTATGCTGCCCGATATGAAACAGATAAGATGGTAATGTAATTCTTCATTAATCATTGGCTTGTCGATATTTATTTGTCCAATGGTTAGTAGGTGCTTTTTATTACTTCTAAATATGTTTCTAGACATGTTACAAAAGTAGGGGTGTAATTTAAATTTTAGATCCCTAACCAAACTCCTTTCTTTCTTTTCAATGGCCTCTGGGCAAACCAAATCATTGGAATCAGTTACATGGTATAATGCTGCTGCCTTTCTGATGGCAAAAGTGAACGTGCATTCAAAACTAGTTAATATAATGATTAATGTTTAGCACATTAAACTTCTAGGTCAAATTTTGATGACTCCAAGTGGGCATGTGTTATAGACACAAAATATCTTGGTTAAGGGTTTAAGCTCCATAAAGGTTTTAGATATTAAAAAATACTCTTCATGTGGTCCCTGGATATTTGATGGCAATCCTTCTTCCTAATCCGACATTTAATCCATAAAATAATTTATTGGCTTCTCCCTAATATTTCCCCCCTTACACCTGCCGAGATACGGAATTGAAATGTTAGTGCTAGAAATATCCTCTGTTTGCTCAACGTGCATTGTACCAACCAAAGTTCTCTTTGACTCCAGGTTGCCACAGGGCAAGTTGCAAATACTGGGATTGTTGCTTTGAGCTATGTTCAGAAGGTATCTGATAAGGTAAGACTTCTTTTCTCTCGTCTAATAATATTGCAATTTGTTTCCTACTAATTCTCACGAATATTTATTTCTATCAAGGTCTCACTTGCGTCAGATTTCATGTATAACTACTTGTCAAAAGATGTAACTGCAAGTGTCGGATATGATTACATCCTTAGACAGGTAACTTTTGGTTGCTACATTTTCGTTAATATTTCTGCATGCCTATAGAAGTTAGAACTTGGCATTTATATTGTTCTTGTCTCACCGTATTGCCATTCTGGATCATCAAAAGAAACACTTTGTTTCCTCTATGCTTTAATTGGCTCGTAGATGCGGTTTTTATCGATTTTAACTGGATAATCATTCTGGTCAATTGTTTTTTTTCCACATTACCAGTGTCGTTTGAGGGGAAAGATCGATTCGAATGGATGCACAACTTCATATCTGGAAGAGCGACTAAATATGGGCCTAAACTTCATTCTCTCTGCAGAGGTAAGATAAAAAGAGAAACATCTGTAGCTGTTTTGGTGCTTTTGTTTAGTCCTTTATGCTAAACAATTTTTATTCTGGGGTGTTGTGTTTTTGCAGATAGATCATAGGAAGAAAGACTACAAATTTGGCTTTGGATTGACTGTGGGGTGATGATTCAATTGTTTCCCCCTCATAAAATGCAGCTTGAAAGTAGTTTTTAGTTTCTTGGATCAGATTGAAGAATTGAATTTGTACTTGAAATTGGTGTTTTTATTGGATTTGATGAAGCAAGATTTAAATGGTTGTTGGTTTCACTTTTAAGAGATGTATTTTTCTCAAAATCAAATGCAATTTGAGATGTTATAATAATTTCATAGCATTTTCCACCTTTTGTTGAATTAAGTAAGCAAAGCTTTTTTTCTTATTGCCCTTACCCCATTATAAGGATTCGTCTAATCCAGATTATCGTGTTGTACACTTAATTTTGGTGGGTGAGTCCATCGACGGGAATTTTCTGCATACGTAAATACTTGAACTTAAAACTTTGTTTAAGTGGATATCAAGCCTCCTATCACTTGAACAACCAACCCGGATAACAAGCAAGCAAAGCAATCACGCTTTAATTAAGCAAGCAAGCAAGCAAGATCACGCTTTAATTAAGCACGAGGATCATAGAAGGTTTAATCATGCTCGGTTTTTTGTATTTGGAATTTGATCCCTTTTATTTTTAATTTTAGTAATTTAGTCCTTCAACCTTTAATTCCAAGAAGTTGATATTTTTGTTTTTATTATTTAATAATTAAAATTCAACTGATAAATAAACCTCTCATATTATTGGATGATATTTTTTAGAAAATTACCGCAAAGCACGAGGACGATGGAGATATTTACAATCGTGGCACTGAAACAAATTTAAATCATAACCAGCTGATAAAGGAAGACTGAAGGGGCCAGGAAATGTCTACGATAAGGGAATAAAAATGAGCGGAAGAAAGAAGAGCTCCGATGCAACGGCGGATACCGATGCGGTGGAGCAGCTGTTGCAAGCGGCGAACGATGAGATGCTCTTAGAACTCTCTGTCGACAGCCATATGTCCCGTGTGGCACCCGATTATCTCGACCCCGATCTCCGCCGCCGATTCCAGGCCCTCCGATCCCGACCTTCCTCTTCCCACCCACAACAGAAAAAGCAATCATCGGCACCACCTCCACCACAGGCTCCGAAACCACAAATGGAGCAAAAGGAAGACGGGGATAAAAAGGAGAGAGAATCAAAGGTTGTTGTTGCCGGTGATGTTGACGACGAATTGAAGGCTGTGTTGGGCGATGATCTCTCCGCACGATTCGCTGCTCTCAAGGCTTCCTTGTCTTCATCTTCTTCTAATCCTTCTGCTTCTACTACTAACGAAGTTCGTATCGATCTAGAAAAATCCGACGGCGAAGATGACGAGGAAGATGAAGTTGAAAGAGTGATCCAATGGGCAAAGGACGCTGCTCGCCTTGATCCTTCCCCTGCCTCTGATGACGATGATGATCTAATCGGTTCCGATTCCGGTGATAATGATACCGACTATGACGATGATCCCAAACATAGAAAAAAGGAAACAAAACGTAGTACGTATTTCAATTTCCTCAGGAAAAAACCCTTTTAATGTTATTGAACTGCATCTCGTTGGAAATTTTCAGTGTCATTCAACTGCGTCTCTTTGGAATTTATCAGTGTTATTGAACTGCATCCCCATTCAATTTTAGCAGTGTTTCGTCACTGATTTGTTGTTTTTAGTAGAAAGCATAAAATCCATTCCCTAATTCAATATTCTTAACTAGTATTTCGATTTAGGGCTTATGTAAACTTTCTATGAGTTCAACCAAAATAAAAGCTGGGTAATTATAGATTAGATTAGCGGAAAAGTGGAAACCATGTATGATTGGCTGCTGCTTTTGTTATAACATATTGTTTTGATATCTTCCAGGGGAATGAGAACCTCCTTAAAGCAGCCTTGCAGGCATTAAATCTTCATGTAATGGCACCATACGCTTCGAGGTTTTATCATATTTTCTTTTCGTTTTACTACTTTTTTGCCTTTGAAAGATCATTCATGCGTAGAACACTGCTGTTGCTTATAGTATGCTGTTATGTGCTGTGTAACTTCGGTAGTGAATATTCTTGTAGACACAGTTAGTATTTCCTGTGCAAAAACGAGTTGGAAATGATGATTTGTGTGTCTAGGAATGGAAGAGCCATTTTTTAAACCTTGCAATGCAAGATCTAACCAATCGAATATCAACTATATTAAGAATTGGGGCGGGAGGGGTTTCAGGTTCCTTCCATTTGTGTTATACATGATGAATGCTTTATTTTACTAATTAATAATGACGGTGGCCGGAAGTAAGGACTCGGCTCCCTTCTCCCAGGGAGAGGAGGAGAAATGGGGAAGAGTCGAGAGAGAGAGAGAGATTATTCATTCCCCTCAAAGGAGAGCGAGCCTTCTTATATATTTCGCGTCCCTAATGCCATATGACACCAGTGGATTGACGAATAGCCGAGAGTAGGGCCTATGGATAGGTCAGCTTAGGGTTCGTTGTCGTACATCCTATTTGGCCAGGGAGGGTGGATAAGCGAATCAGGTTCTCTTGTCTGTATAAGAAGGAGATGTACCGAGGCTCTAGCCCTGCTATGGAGCGGGAGGTAGGGGGCGCTGGGTGATGTGCCGGTGTTGATTTTCGCCGAGTGTTTGGGCCTTCCGGGTTGTACTAATGGGCCTGTATAAGAGTTGTCATGTTTGATCTTGAGGCAAAAATATTTTTTAACCCTCTTGAATTTTTTTAATCAGGCTGCTGACACGAATCATTAAAAAATTTATATCTCATAGAATTCGTCACGTTGGGGATGTTGCAATTATCGTGATCCCAAATTAAAAGTTTTAGTGCCCTAATGGGCTAAATAAATTACCCGGGATTGGTAATGGGCCAATTTGGCCGGCAAGCATGTGTTAGGTTATCAATTTTCTATTAAATTATTCTTTATTAGTTAAATTTGTAATATGAAAAACATGAACGATTATCTTATGAATATCTTTTTTAATTTTTAATTGATATGAAAAAATCAATAGTTAATTAATAAAAATGATCGTTACAGACATTATAATTTTTATTTGTTTAAAGTGATAATTTAATATATATGTTATAAATGATGATGTGATATATATCATGTGCCTACAGGTGACGACGTGATAATTATCATATATACATAAGTGATGATTTGAAATATGTAATATATACACATAAGTTATAACGTGATACATGTAACGTGTTTACAGTAATAATGTGACACATTCAATGTATGCATAAGTGATGACAAATGCATGTTATATATACATGAGTGATGATGTGACATGCACATATATACATAGGTGATAATCACATGTCACTTGTACATAAGTGATAACATGATACATGTTATGTAAATATAATAATAACGCGACATAATATGTCGATGCTATAGACATAAATTATTATGTTACCGAAAACGTTAATTATTAATTAATAAATTATTCTCACCCAACAAGAAACATATTCTCACAAAAGAATAGAAAAGAAAAGTTAAAAGTATGGACCAGTACAGAGACCACATGGGCTTTGTTCGACTCGTGAACTTTGATAAATTTTGACCAACGTGGCAATATGTGATTGGTTCCGTATTTTACTTTTACTCGACAACTTGCTGACTTTTTATCCCAAAAAAAAAGTAAGGCAAATCAAAAAGAATTCCAAATTAATTCACTATCAATAATAAAAATGATAAATTATCATATTAATATTAAATATTTTGCATAATATAAAGTTTTAATATATTTATATCATATTTATGATAAACTATATTCATGACTACTTAATTATAATAGGTTTTTTTAACCACTATATGTTGATTACATCGATCAAGTTACTTAATTTTTATATGTTGTCAATCAAAACACTAATCATTAACATTTTACGAAGAAACTAACATGATAGTTAACAAAATTAGTATAATTACACATTTATCTTTATTTAAATTTAATTTAATAAATTTAATAATTTAATCAGATGATGACATGTCGTTATCTAATTAAAGAAAAAAATAAAGAGAAATGTATTGATAGGAAGAATTAGGCATATACTTACCAATAGGTCAAACATCACAATTGTGATATAAATTAATATTATGCCAACAAGTGTTAGTACAAGTGGTTGTAATTCAAGAATTTGAGTTTATAAGATCAAGTTTGAATTCTACCATCGTCACTCTTAGTGGACAATCTGTAAATTTCTATGTAAATTCTCATTGGGTCTTATGTATGCCCTAGTTTTGGACGGAGGAACCACCCATAATCTAACTTTTTATACCAATATATATATATATATATATATATATTATAACATTATGTATATATCTTATATTGTAGTTAATCTGGAAAAAAATCAAATAAAGTGGTAAAGATATATTCAATCCAGATCACTTAGAGAGAATAGACACACTTAAACATTTGAAACAAATCTAATTAAATTATAATTGGATGAATTATATATATATATATATATATATATATTTAAATTGTGTTAATACAATAAAAATGAGTTTAAGTTTTTTTATATTTTTAAATTAAATATAATAATTTTTATCTTTCTATGATTATATTGAATAAAATTAAAATTGAGACCAAATTGATATAATGTATAAAAAATAAAGATCAAATGTACAATTATCAATTTGTTAACTATCACATCAATTTCTCATTTCCTCTTTTAAATGGCTAACGTCATGTAATGTTATTAATGTCATTGGTAAACCGTGCATTTAGTAATTAAATTATCAGGTTTGTTCTGTTTTAATATCTATTTTTTTAAATTATACCTAACATTTAGTTTTAATTTTATTTTAGTATCATACTGTAAAGAATTTAATGCATTTAGTACCTGATCTATCAGTTTTGGTCCGTTTTAGTACCTAAACTTTCATTCTTTTCAAGACTTAACGTTAAATTTTAAACGATTATTAAAATAAAACAAAAACTAAAGTTTTTAACGGCAAATACTGATATGCAACAAAAACTAAACTTTAAGTATGATTTGAAAAAAAAAAAAGTTTAGATACTAAAAGTATAAATTACCCTAATATCATTTATAATTAAGTGATTGTATAACTAATTAAGTGATTAGGAGTATAGTTGTCAAAGATTTTTTTTACAATATAAGGTGTTTATATGCTATAAAAATTCTCAATCATTTGAGATGAAGTTAGTATAGCCTATAATTGTTTGTGCTCAAACTTAAATTTCTAAACATAATAATCTTTTTAAATACTGAGATAATTTGGTGTTAGTTTAATTGTACATTAAACTAATATATAATTAAAGTGATATAGAACCAAATTATGGAAGCACAGAATTGTCTATGAAAAAGTGTGTATATATAGTTTTTCCCTTTCTTTTCTTTGAATATATACATATATATGTGCATGATTGTCTTTGTCAGAAATTCATGGGAGATGCAGATTGGAGTGGGCAAGTTGGAAGGAGGGTTTGGGCGGTTATGAATTCCCAGCTGTCTTATTATTTTTAGCAAATTAGTCGTTGAAGTGAGGTATCAATGTACCCATCCTGCAACTTGTGAATCTCTGGATAACCCATCAACATCATCTATAACATTTCCCCTTTATATAGATTTTTTCCCCAAAATTTTTATGCATACTACCTGTTTGTTAATATTACCGAATCATAATTTCACTCAGCAAATTTGCAACTGAACTGCAAACATGCAATTTAGAGATTTTAATCCCTTTTAGGAAACGAAAATAGAAGATTTTGATATTTGGGTTGGTTAAAAGTTTTGATTCCTTGCTGTTTTGATAGATTTATATGAGCACCGGTTAACGTATCAGAATTTTGATAATGACACTGCCAGTACTTTAGTTGCAAATGCTCTTATCTTTTATAGCGTTTTTCTGCAGTTGTTCTGAAGATTTAAGTGTTTGAATCGGGGAAATATTGGGTAATCATTTTTCTGAAGTATTTGAAAATATTGTTATATGAACCTGGTTTGGGTTTGAGCATTTTTGTTTTTATGTTACCAGAAGTGTTTTTTGGATGGTTGTTTGCTAATTATGGCTAGCATCCAAAATTATGTTTATTGTTTTATGTTTGAATGATGCTTTTTTTATATTAAAAAAAACACATAAAAATCACCGATATTTACGTTTGAATCAATTGACCTAAATCCCAAACTGAAACACAAACTTTAATATCCATGAAGCTTTAAAATCACTGAAATTGCAACTTGTAGTTTTTAGTCTTTCACTTGATTTTTTTTGTGTTGTTTTGAACTTAAATGAGCATCCTTTAGAATTATCACCACTTAGGTTTAAACTATTGAGTGCATATGTAAATTTAGGTGATTCTTCTTGATAATCAATGAACAAAGAAAACCCCCGATTAACATTGAAAATAGTTTGCTGTAATTTAACACAATGAGGCAACTTTCACGGGACCTGTGCTGTTAAAACTTGTTGTCAAATAGGCTTGTTTAAATTAGAAATAGCAACTGATTTACTTTCTGGAATTTTCTTTTATTTGGATTTTGCATTGTCCCTTCATACATTTACAATTAGAAAAACCCTAAATATTAGTGTTGAATTCACCGCGCATTAATTTCGATATATGTTAATGATTTGAAATTGCCATTTACGGTTTTAAGATATTCTGATGTCTAACAGAACTTTGTGCCTTTTCATTCATCAATAGGTCAGCAATTTACAAGAGTCTATTTTTGAATGGTGGAGCAAATCATTCTTGAATTCTCATAGACTCCACTGGTGCCTGTCCTGAATTTGCTGGACTTTATCTCTGGTTAAACTTGCTTGGCCTTGTTTTGGGTCTATTTACTCTCTTTTGCACGGCATCTCTGCTTCTCCATAATTTAAGCATTCCATAGATCTGTTGTTAGTGAAGCCACTATTGAAATTACCCAAAAAAAAGTATGTCGAAAATCCATGGTATGGATTACAGACTATCTAAATTTGGCAGTGTAGTGGAATATCTTTTTTCTGGGTGGTAATCTTGGTAGCAAATCAGTCAAGGCTAGATGACTGTGGATGAAGCTGGAAAGAGATCCGAGGGATAGGGAGCAAGATAAGGCGTTCGAGAATGCCCTTGCAATTATCCCGAGGACTCTTCTGATCGGTGGGAGAAAATTGCAGCTGATGTACCTGGGAAAACTTTGGAAG